AAATTCCAGTTCATGAGTCAGCTCTGGCTTCTTGGTCACCTAATGTTCCAAAGTCAGGAGCTCTTTCTCTAGTAAGGCTCACAGCACACCAGGGAGATTTTTTTTAAAATAGTTGATTATTCTCTGCTGCAGAAAATAAGGCCTTGCCCCAACACCATAAGCAACTCTCCTACTAGAGTTTTCCATTAACTTTCCACTCACTCTATATCCTCTTCCCACCTCAGATATCTCTAACACCATTGGTCTGATGAGTCATTGGACTCAAATATCAGGGCTCTTCACCCCCAGCTTGAGCCTGCTGAAGAGCCCATTCCTGTGTTGGGACCCACCAAAACTTGCCTTCTTCTTCATTTGGGCAGATATGTCTTGGTATAGGATCTTTTCCTCTATCTCAGACATTTTTAAATGTTTGGAAATAGATTCAAACAAGTACGTGAATTGTTATATCACAGCCCTAAGATTTTAATTATATTATATACCATACATCATTACACCTTTTTCTGAATATAAGATTATTAATTTTTAAATTGAAAATAGAATTAGTGGGAGTAACATTGTTTTTAAATCAATACATAAAATAATACTTTTAATACCATTTAATTCTTATTCTATTTTCATATTTTATACTACACATAATATTTTAGCATAGTGATAATTCTACCAAGTCATAAATAAAATTTACATATTCAGAATACACTCCCCAAGATTTTAGTAATATGAATATACACCAAAAATGGCTTGGAACTCTCTGCTGGTGAAGCCACCATAAGATGAAACAAAGTGGAGTTACATAATTAGATGCGACAATCTAGAGGAAAATCTAGTATTAAAGAGGAAGGTCAAATATAAAACTAAGGAAAACACAAGCATCATTAAACACAAACAAAGGAAAAAAACTGCATAAAAGACTGAAATGGAAGAGTCAGGAAGACAGAAACAGTGAGTACTATCATAGAACCAGAGATGAAGATTTTAAAAAATACCAAACATCACAGCTGGGTTAGAAAGATAATTACATGTTCTTTGGAGTTGACATTTAGAGTTGGTTGTGACCTTATTGAGAGAGAGGGTTTGGTGAATTGGCAGGGACAGAAAAGAATGGGAGGAACCAATCAAAACAATTTCTAATCTATTTTACCATTCCATTTACTACCTGTATCTCCTATATCCCTTGGACTGTAAGGAGGTCCAACTAGTCCATCCTCAAGGAAATCAGTCTTGAATACTCATTGGAAGGACTGATGCTAGGCTGAAACTCCAATACTTTGGCCACCTGATGTGAAAAACCAACTCATTGGAAAAGACCCTGTTGCTGGGAAAGATTGAAGGCAGGTGGAGAAGGGGACGACAGAGGATGAGGTGGTTGGATGGCATCACCAAGTCGATGGACATGAGTTGAGCTCCAGGAGTTGGTAATGGATAGGGAAGCCTGGCGTGTTGCAGTCCATAGGGTCGCAAAGAGTCAGACACGACTGAGCGACTGAACTGAACTGAATCTCCAACATCATGTATGGGTAAGCCTAAGCCACCCTAGTTTACTATTTTCATATATTTTATATAAATTATTTATATTATACTATTATAATATATATACTATTTATATATTTTTTTAATTAGGTCTTGCTCTTTCAAGCTTCCAGAATTTTTACATATGCTCCCATTAGTCTTTTTATTTTCCTCAAGTGCATCACTTATTATAAGTCTACTTATCCTGCAAAGTTAATCTGAAATGGCACTTCCAATGAGGAATCTTTCTTTTTTCCTCTGGGTCTCCATCCACTTCATTCACCATGTTTATATGTGACCTACTTACACTTTTTAATATCACAGCCTGAACTGCCTTCTTGTTAGCAATCCAAGTGTCTTTCTCTCACTAGATCATAAGCTTCTTGTGGAGCCATTTCTAAAACCTAAATATTTCTCATCCTGTGCTCATTCTACCCTCCATCTCTTCCAGCATCCTGTATATTAGAAGTACTTGATTGAAGTTAAACAGAACTGAAATTTTAAATATCAGTGAAGTGTTTATTGAGGATCTAACTCAGTCTGTTGTGAGAAGCACAAAATATGTAAGACATGATTGGTACTTTATGGATATTTAGCCAATACTTCTGGAGAAGGAAATGGCACCCCACTCCAGTACTCTTGCCTGGAAAATCCCATGGACAGAGGAGCCTGGTAGGCTACAGTCCCGAGGTCACGAAGAATTGGACACAACTGAACGACTTCACTTTCACTTTTCACTTTCATGCATTGGAGAAGGAAATGGCAACCCACTCCAGTGTTCTTGCCTGGGGAATCCCGGGGAAGGAGGAGCCTGGTGGGCTGCCATCTGTGGGGTCGCACAGAGTCGGACACGACTGAAGCAACTTAGCAGCAGCAGCAGCAGCCAATTCTTTTATAATCAACACATAAGAAGTCACATTTAACCAAGTGGCAAATGCAGTGTGATAGCAGGTCGTTACTAATCAGAACAGGAAAAGGAACATCAATATAACTG